CTAGTCACCTGAGAGGTGTTACCTAGATGTATTTTGTGTAAACAGATTCAAGCCTCTTACCTAATGCACACATTAGTGCACTCTACCCAAGCTGCGGGAGCCAAATAGATTTGGATAGGGAAGAATATTTTGGTTTCATTTCGGTGAGAACTGCTCCTATGAATTGCATTTTACACGCCTGTCTCTGACTTGGTAGGCGACCTTACTATCAGTGGATGAAGTGATGTACCCTGTTCCTACCTTGTACATAAGGTTTTTGCAGCACAAAAGTGCTTAACTCTGGGCTAAGCTTTGTTAGAGGACCAGAAGCTTAATTGAGCTCTTAGAAGAGAAGAAAAGGAAAAGTGTTTGAACAAGTGCTTGTTCATGATAGGTTGGATTACATCTCTACAATTTACCTGTCAAAAAAAGGGAAAGGGAAGGCTCTGCTTTGCTTTGGACATTTTATATATTTTCTCTACTGTGTGTGAAGTGTATTTGTGTGAGTTACAGTATAATCTTTTTTCTCGTTTCTTTTTTTTAGTGACAGAGTTTTGCTATGTTGCCCAGGCTGGAGTACGGTAGCTATTCACAGATGTGATTATGGCACACTACAGCCTTGAACTCCTAGGCTCAAACCATCTGTCTATTTCAGCCTTCCAGGTAGCTGGGACTAAAGGCACATGCCACCTTTGCCTGAGTTCTATAGTATAATTTTTGAACCTCCTCCCAGTTTCTGTTTTAAAATTTGTTTTACTGTTTGAAGAGCCAGTTACTTTTCTAGCTAGCTTCCTCTTTTCTGAAACAGGAAGAAACATTTTGAAATAAAACGATCCAAATGTGTTTTAGGGTTATTAACCATAAATTTCAGAACATAGCATTCTTGAAGGCAAGGATATTTAGTATCTATGATACATATTTAATTTAGGTAATTAAATCCTTATGATAGAATAACCTCAGTGTGTAGTTCTGTAAACATTAATTTTAAAAGACTGAGGCTGCTTAGTTATAATGAAACCATAAATAATATTTTTAATATAGCAGGCTTATTTAAGGAAAATAGCAAGGTGCCTGGCATTATTATCTATGAGCAGCAACTTTTTCTTACATTTAAGAAGATAGCTTGAACCTAGGAGGCGGAGATTGCAGTGAGCCAAGATTAATAGAGAAACCTGGTAGACACTTCCTTAACTAAGTGAGCAAAATTAAGCCAGCCACAGAGGCATGCACCTGCAGTCCCAGCTATTTGGGAGGCAAATGCGGGAGGATCACTTGAGCTCAAGAGTTTGAGTCCAGCCTAGGCAGCAGAGCAAGATCCTGTCTCAATAAATAATATGAATGTAAATATATATTAAAAACTAATATCCCTAGCAGTGGGGGGACAAATAGATATTTTAGACACCCCGGACATATTTGAAAGGACATAATATTATTTTTTTAGTATTTCTACCAAAAATGCAAACTGAATCTAATTATAAGGAAATACACAAACCCAAATGGGTGGACATCCTACAAAACATGACCTGCACTCTTCAAAAGTGTCAAGATTGTGAAAGACAAAGATCAAATAACTTCTTAAAGGAGAAGAAATTGTTCCAAGTCAAAGGATTTATTAAGAAACATGATATTTACTAAATGAAACCTACAACCAAAAAAAATTTTTTTTAACTTTTTAAAAGGACATTAGTCAGGTTTGTCAAAGATCAGGTGGTTGTAGTTGTGTGACATTCCTTCTAAGGCCTCTGTTCTATTCCATTGGTCTATATCTCTGTTTTGGTACTAGTACCATGCTGTTTTGATTATAGTAGCCTTGTAATATAGTTCGAAGTCAGGTAGCATGATGCCTCCAGCTTTTTTTTTTTATTATTATTATTTTTTTTGCTTAGGATTGTCTTGGCTATGTGGGCTCTCTTTTGGTTCCATACGAAGTTTAAGGTGGTTTTTTTCCAGTTCTGTGAAGAAAGTCATTGGTAGCTTAATGGGGATAACATTGAATCTATAAATTGCTTTGAGCAGTGTGGCCATTTTCATGATATTGATTCTTCCTATCCATGAGCGTGGAATGTTTCTCCATCTGTTTGTGTTCTCTCTTATTTCCTTGAGCAGTGGTTTGTAGTTCTCCTTAAAGAGGTCCTTCACATCTCTTGTTAGTTATATTCCTAGGTATTTTATTCTCTTTGTAGCAATTGTGAATGGGAGTTCACTTATGATTTGGCTGTTTGTCTATTATTGGTGTATAAGAATACTTGTGATTTTACAGGGACCTGGATGAAACTGGACTTTCATCCTGAGACTTTGCTGAAGTTGCTTATCAGCTTAAGGAGATTTTGGGCTGAGACAATGGGGCTTTCTAAATATACAGTCATGTCATCTGCAGACAGGAACAATTTAACATCCTCTCTTCCTATTCAAATACGCTTTATTTCGGAAAGCATTCCCTAGTTAATAAATGGTGTTGGAAAAACTGGCTAGCCATATGCAGAAAGCTGAAACTGGATCTCTTCCTTACACCTTATACAAAAATTAACTCTAGATGGATTAAAGATTTAAACATGAGGCCTAACACAATAAAAACCCTAGAAACCTAGGTAATACCATCTAGGACATAGGCATGGGCAAGAACTTCATATTAAAACACCAAAAGCAATGGCAACAAAAGCCATAATAGACAAATGAGATCTATTAAACTAAAGAGCTTTTGCACAGCAAAAGAAACAATCAATAGAGTGAACCGGCAACCAACAGAATGGGAAAAAATTTTTGCAGTCTACCCATCTGACAAAGAACTAATATCCAGAATCTACAAAGAACTTAAACAAATTTACAAGAAAAAAAAAGTGGGCGAAGGATATGAACAGACACTTTTCTTTTCTTTTTTTTTTTTTTTTTTTTTTTTTGAGACGGAGTTTCACTCATGTTACCCAGGCTGGAGTGCAATGGCGCGATCTCGGCTCACCGCAACCTCCGCCTCCTGGGCTCAGGCAATTCTCCTGTCTCAGCCTCCTGAGTAGCTGGGATTACAGGCACGCACCACCATGCCCAGCTAATTTTTTGTATTTTTAGTAGAGACGGGGTTTCACCATGTTGACCAGGATGGTCTCGATCTCTTGGCCTCGTGATCCACCCGCCTCGGCCTCCCAAAGTGCTGGGATTACAGGCTTGAGCCACCGCGCCCGGCCGAACAGACACTTTTCAAAAGAAGACATTTATGCAGACAACAAACATATGAAAAACTTATCATCACTGGTCATTAGAGAAATGCACATCAAAACCACATTGAGATACAACCTCATGCCAGTTAGAATGGCGATCATTAAAAAATTAGAAGACATCAGATGCTGGAGAGGATGTGGAGGAATAGGAACACTTTTACACTGTTGGTGGGAGTGTAAATTAATTCAGCCATTGTGGAAGACAGTGTGGAGATTCCTCAAGGATCTAGAACTAGAAATACCATTTGACCCAGCAATCCCATTACTGGGTATATACCCAAAGGATTATAAATCATTCTATTACAAAGATACATGCACATGTATGTTTATTGCAGCACTGTTCACAATAGCGAAGACTTGGAACCAACCCAAATGCCCATCAATGATAGACTGGATAAAGAAAATGTGGCACATATACACCATGGAATACTATGCAGGCATAAAAAAAGATGAGTTCATGTCCTTTGCAGGGGCATGGATGAATCTGGAAACCATCATTCTCAGGAGACTGACACAAGAACAGAAAACCAAACATCACATGTTCTCACTCATAGGTGGGTGTTGAACAGTGAGAACACATGGACACAGGGAAGGGAACATCACACACTGGGGCCTGGAGGTGGGGAGCTACGGGAGGAATAGCAGGGGGTTGGGGAGGGATAGCACTGGGAGAAATACCTAATGTAGATGACAGGGGCGATGGATGCAGCAAACCACTACCGTGGCACGTGTATACCATGTAACAAACCTGAATGATCTCCACAATGTACCCTAGAACTTAATAAATAAATAAATAAGTGGACAATAGTGGGACAATTGGAAATTTGAATAATGTCTAAAGATTAGATAATACTATATTAATGTTATTTTCCTAGTTTTGATAATTATGCTGTCTTTGGATTAGATAGCATTTTTATATTTAGAAAATTAACACAAAATATTTAGGGTGAAAGAAGCAATATGTCTAATGCTTTCAAACACATCAGAAAATAATCATATAGGAAGAGAATGATAAATAGATATGATTAAATGTTAGAACTGAGGGAATATGGGTGAAGGTTGTATGGGAATTCTTTGTGCTGTTTTTGCAACTTTTGTAAGTCTGAGATTATTTCAGAATGGTAAAGGAGATAGTAGTTTAATCAGTTTTGCCATTAATTACCTGATTTTTGAGTAGGTTGTTAACCCTCACTGGGTTACATTCCTCATCTATAAAATGTTGAGGTAGCTGACTTACATTAAATTGTAAGGGTCCTTTCTAAAATTCTGTGATGTTATAACTAGTCATTAGTAGTAATAATTTATACTCTTAATATAGCCATACTTGAAAGGACAATAATGGAAAATGAGGGTTAATTTTCACACTTAAGTAAAAAGCTGTTATTAAAACATGGCCTTTATGCCAAGTGACAATGTAATATTAAGCTCACAGATTGTTTTTTTATTTTGCCAAAGAAACTTTCACTGAGATTTTATTTAATTAACATTTTATTTGCATGTTACTTCTTGGTTCATGCTTATGCATTAATGATATCTTACTCATTTTTAAATTTTAATGTCATTAAAAGTACTTTTATAGGATTACCCAATGAAAACTTGGTAGTTAAAACACAGTATTAGTAATGAAGGTTTATTTGGTTGTAATAGATATACAGTAATTACCTAAAGCCTAGAAGGATTGTAAAGATACAGCCTGATGATCTAAAAATTAAATTGATGGCTAGTATAAAATAGTTTTGAGCAGTATTTAACAAAAACAAAACTGCGTTAATCTTTTATTTTCATTTACCTCTCCCTGACGCCTCCTAGCTTGGTGATCCAGCTATTTTTCCTGCTGTAATTGTGGAACATGTTCCTGGTGCTGATATTCTCAATAGTTACGCCGGTCTAGCCTGCGTGGAAGAACCCAATGACATGATTACTGAGAGTTCACTGGATGTTGCTGAAGAAGAAATCATAGACGATGATGATGATGACATCACCCTTACAGGTGCGTGTGTTTCCACCCAATAGGACCTTGCTGCACCACAGTTTAGGCATTGTCCTCATCCTGAGGTTGTGGGGCATAAAACACCCCTAACTTGGTTTTGAACTTTATTACCTGCAGAAGCTAGAGCCCTACATGGAGAAGAAAATTACACTTTCTGTTTCATCTGCTGGACTTTGTCATCTATTTCTTCTCTCCTAAATATACTGAGATGAATGTGACAAAACAGGAGGCATGTAAAAGGAACCAAATCTACTCAATTCATCAAGTCTTCACTGAGCACTTTTTTTTTTTTTTAAGAGATAGGGGTCTTACTGTATTGCCCAGGCAAGATGCAGGGGAATCATTGAGCCCAGACTTGAACTCCTAGGCTCAAATGATTCCCCTGCATCACCCTCCCGAGTAACTGGGACAACAGTCACACACTACCCCCCTCAGCTCACTGAATACTTTCTTATGTGCCTCCCTCCATATTCCTGTGAACAAAATGAGTTGTTTGTAGGGAAAGAAAGAGGAATATTCTTTTCTTACCACTTCCACAGGAAGCGAAATAGTGGGCCATGACCCAAATGTAGATTTCTTTTCTGGTTCAGTCAGAACTAGTAAGACATTTTAAACTTGAAGAGTAGGCTACACAAATGTGAGATTGTAGTATTAATAGTTTTATCACTTAGAAATCTGTACATGCTTTCTCTTTTTGTGCATTTACATTCATATATCTTGGCCAGGGATGTTGTGAATATTTGAGAAAACTATTTGGAAGCAAGTATTTGCATCTTTATTCATAAAAGAAAGTTTATCAGAAATAATACCGTATGATGAGGTATATCTGTAAATTTCATGGTGGCAAGTACTGGGGCTGCCTTGTTCTCAGCTTTACCTTAGCATGTAACAGAATGCCTTATAACTAAATAGTAAGTCTAAAGGCAAGTTCTGGTCTAGTTAGGAAGTTAACATATGATGCAGTAACTTTTTAAATCAAGGGAAAGGAAAAATGACTGTATCCATCTGGTGGGGGAGAGAAAAGGTTAGATTCCCACCTTAATCATGCTCCAGAATATCAGACTGAATCCCAGATTGATTTTAAATTTTAATATAACAAGTAAAGCCATTTTTTAAAACTTTAGAAGACTGAACATTTGATTTTAAAGTAACAAAGGATTTTCTAAGGATAAAAATTAAGAGAAAAATGTAAAGGGAAAAGGATGGATTGACTTGGATAACAAATATTGAAAACTTGATCAATTTATGTTGAAAACCAATATAACTGAAATAAACAGGCACATGACAAATAAAACTATTTACATCTTATATGGTAGATAAAGTGTTAATATCCTTAATGTGTATAGAGCTCTTACCAATTAGTAATAACCTTAAATGAGCAAAGAATGTGAACAGTCTGCTTATTAAGTGAACAAAAATAACTGTCCAGTAAGTATGACCAAAAGAGTTGCTTTCTTTAGTAAGCAAATAAATGCAGTATGAAAAAAATTAATACAGTTTTCACGTATCATATTGAAAAGATAACAAAAGATAATACACAAAAAGATAACTTTATGGCATAGACGTAGGACCAAAGGAATAGAAGTTGGGCTGACATTTTTGTCACAGCACCAAAAAGTTCTGGATGTGGTTATATTTGTGAGAGGTATATAGACTCTTTTAGATGGCGAGGGACACATAAATATAGAGACTGGAAAGTGGATAAATGGTGAGTTTCTGTTTTCCATCATTGGGAAAAGCTGGACCAGGAACATTGTTTTAGGAAATCATGATAGAAGTTAGCTATACCTGGGAAGAGGAACACAAAGTCGATATGAAGCTGAATAAAATTGCAGTTAAGTTACAAGTAGTACAGAGAATTTCCTCCTTTTCCTCTTTCTGCATCCCCTAATGTTAACTTCTTATGTAACCATTGTATATATTATCTAGAACCAGAAATTAACATTCGTCACAATATTATTAACAAAACCTAGACCTTACTTGTGTTTCACCAGTAAGTTCTTTTTCTGTTCCAGCATCTAGTAGAATCTCACATTTGGTAGTTATTTCTCCTTAGTCTCTTCTAGTCTATAATAGTTTGTTTTTTCTTGTCTCTGATAACTGACTCTTGAAGAGTACTGGTTAGGTATTTTGTAGAATGTCCCTCAATTTTAGCTGTGTGATATTTTCTCATGACTGGGATGAGCTAATACATTCTTGTCAAGAATAGCACAAAAATGGTATTGTCTCCTTCCCACTAATAGGTTTTTAAAAATACATACATTATCTTATTTATTTGATGCTCATAATAGAAAGGGAAAACTGAAGTTAAGAGAGGTTAGATGACTTCCTAAGGCCACATACCAAGTGACCAAGCCCCCACGGATAACATTGGTTGTCAATACTTCATTTTTGTGTTGTCCTCTGTTTTAGTCACTTCTCACATTTCCATAAAGAACTACCTAAGACTGGGTAATAGTTATAAAAAAAAAAGAGGTTTAATTGGTTCGTGGTTCTGCAGACTGTACAAGAAGCATGGATTGGGAGGCCTCAGGAAACTTAGAATCATGGTGGAAGGCGAAGCAGAAGCAGACACATCCTACATGGCTGGAGCAGGAGGAAAAGAAAGCAGGGTGGCGGGGGTGCTACATACTTTCAAACAACCAGATCTTATGAGAACTCATTCACTGACACAGCCAGGGGAAAATCTGCCCCCATGATCCAGTCACCTCCCACCAGGCCCCTCCTCCAACCTTGGGGATTACAATTCAACATGAGATTTGGGCAGGGACACAAATCCAAGCCATATCATTCTCTCTTTTTTTTACAAAGCATTTATTGCATATATTCATATTTTTTGTTCAGAACAAACCAATAAAAGCTTTTTGTTGAATCTAGAGTTACTTCTCCCTTACCAGTAAGGGAATTAGACTAATCAGATTAGAAGTTTCTATTCAGATTAGAAGTTTCTATTCATTGCTGACTGATCTGTTTTATGTAACAGAATGAACACCACTATGCATGTATCTGGCCTGTAGTCAGTGGGAGTTTTGCAGTATATTCTGATGTAACTTTTAAAGCCTTAGGGTAAGGCTACAGTCTTTATAAGTTAGGGACCAGTGTCTCTTTGGAAAGAGTGTTTCGTCCTGGTTCTAGTCATCAGAGAAGGCATTGGTCCTCAGAGAGGGAATTAAACCTAGGAAAGCAGGTATTGGATCTTTACGAGAAAGAATTGTTTCTTCCCTTCAGTGCTTCACTGTCTTGCATTTGGACCGAAGACAGCATTTGACAGATACAGAAAGGCTCTTCCCTAGAAAATATAACTTGCAGAATGGGTCTAGAAAGCAAGCCAGATTGTGAAAACCAGATCTCTCTTTGCATTTTTTCTTCCTCTTCCCTTACTTCCCAACTTACCAAAGCTTTGTTTAACTCTTCCATCCTTTTCTGAGCAATGTCATGAAAAATGGAAGAACCTCTTTCTTATTCCAAAGTGGGGATGATGGGGAGCCCTTGAGAAGCTCTAGGGGAACAAAGAGCTAAGGATAGGACAGTTTTGTTCTCACGAGTGTTAGATGGCACTTCTGATGACACGTTAGTTTGCTAGGGCTGCCATAAAGACTGGGTGGCTTAAATAAGAAATTATTTTCTCACAGTTCTGGAAGCTAGAAGTCTGAGATCAAGGTATTGCTGGGGTTAGTTCCTTCCGAGGCCTCTTTCTGGACTTATAGGTGACTGTCTTTTAGTGTCTTCACATGGTCTTCTCTTTGTACCTGCCTGCGTTCATATTTCATCTTAGAGGGACACTAACTATATTAGATTGGGGCCTACACTAATAATCTCATTTTAACTCAGTTATCTCTTTAAAGACATTCTGAGATACTGGGGGGTTAGCATGTCAACAGAGAATTTTGGGGGACACCATTCAGCCTATAATAGATGATATTAAATAATTATTGTTAGTATTTTTAAGATATGATAGTAGCATTGTGTTAGACATCTTTTAGATACACATGCTAAAGTATTTAGAGATAAAATTATGCTATCTTAGATTCCTTAAATAATCCTGTAGAGAGGGTAAGGATTTGGGGGCAGTGAGTGGGATGTGGATGAAAGAAGATTGGCCATTTGGTGATAATAATTGAAGCTGAGAATGGGCCCATGGGGATTCATTATCCTATACTCCACAATTTTTATTTTGTTTAGAATTTTCGTAATAAACATATTTGTCCAGATGCAGTAGCTCACACCTGTAATCTCAGAACTTTGGGAGGCCGAGGCAGGAGGATCACTTGAGACCAGGAATTCAAGACCAGCATGAGCAACTTAGCAGGAACCTGTCTCTACAAAAAATTTTAAAAATTAGCTGGGCCTGGTGGCCTGAGCCTGTAGTCCTAGCTACTCGGGAGGCTGAGTTGGCAGGATTGCTTGAGCCTAGGAGTTTATGGTTGCAGTGAGCTAAAATTGAGTCACTGCACTCTAGCCTGGGAGACAGGGTAAGACCTTGTCTCAAAGCAAAACCAGGCTGGGTGCCGTGGCTCACGCCTATAATCCCAGCACTTTGGGAGACCAAGGCGGGTCGATCACAAGGTCAAGAGATCAAGACCATCCTGGTCAACATGGTGAAACCCCGTCTCTACTAAAAATACCAAAAATTAGCTGGGCATGGTGGCGCGTGCCTGTAGTCCCAGGTACTCGGGAGGCTGAGACAGGAGAATTGCTTGAAACCAGGAGGCGGAGGTTGCAGTGAGCCGAGATTGCGCTATTGTACTACAGCCTGGGCAACGAGTGAAACTCCATCTCAACAACAAAAAAAAGCCAAACCAAAAAGGTTTAGTGATTTTATGAAATTTGAGTCTTATATTAGATTGTATTTTGAGCTGTCATCAGAATACATAATTGTTTTTGTCTTGCCAAAAAAAAAAAAATTAAACTTGAATTTCATCAAGCTTCTAGATAGGACTACTCAATTAGAGGGAATATAGAAAAACATGTTAACCTACACAAAAGGAATACAGTTGGCAAAATCCAAACTATGGGAAGCCCTACATGAATACACAGCCTGATTTCTTCAACAAATAAATTGCAAAGTAAATAAAACTGGGGAGATGAATGGTAACTCAGAAATGAAAAGAAAATTAAGAAATGTTGTCAGTCAATTGCAATATGCAGACTTAATTTGATTTAAACAAAAAACTGTCTTGTTTGTCCTTGTAGCACCCCATTTATGATTTTTTTAAGACAGGCTATGTAATATTAAGGAAATATTGATTTCTTTTTTTAGTGTAATTTGTTTTTTTTTTTTTTTTTTTTTGAGACGGAGTCTTGCTGTCACCCAAGCCGGAGTGCAGTGGCATGATCTCGGCTTATTGCAACCTCCACCTTCCAGGTCCAAGCAGTTCTCCTGTTTCAGCCTGTAGCTGGGACTATAGGTGTGTGCCACTATGCCCAGCTAATTTTTTTTGTATTTTTAGTAGAGATGCAGTTTTGCTTTGTTGACCAGGCTGGTCTCAAACTCTGTCCTCAAGCAATCCATTTGTCTCTACCTCCCAAAATGTGGGATTACAGGCATGAGCTACTGCACCTGGCCAGGTTTAGTATAATTTTATATGTTTATAGTTCATAGGTATATAAGCTAAAATATTAAATAATATATTCTGGTTCTACAGATGAGCAGTGTATGAATTTCAGAGTAACAGATGTCTTGTGGCTAATTTAATTTTCTCTTTAAATGTGTTGCAGTTGAAGCTTCTTGTCATGATGGGGATGAAACAATTGAAACTATTGAGGCTGCTGAGGCACTCCTCAATATGGATTCTCCTGGCCCTATGCTGGATGAAAAACGAATAAGTGAGTGGTTATGATTGTTCATGTTTATGTACTGTGTAAAGTTACTCTTGCCATCTTTCTCTATTAGATAGTAAAATCAAGAGATTAGAAATGATGTTATATATATTTTTTGTTACAAGCACATTTTTAGGGTATATTAGGAATTGAGGTACCTTTGCAAAAATGTACAGTTAAAAGGTGACAATTTGAGAATGAAGCCTTTAGGAACAACAAAAAAGTAGCTTATTAGTTATCAAATAGTAGATCATGCAAAATTTCTTCTCTTAACATATTGATGAAAGTATTAGAGTATCAAGGGCCCAAATAAAATTTTACTAACACATCATGGCATAAAATTCACTGCCACATTATTGATCTGCTTTAAAATTCATGTTGTCCTTTGGACTTTTCTGACAAGAAAGCAAGCAGATTCATAAATTATTACTAAATCTGTCCAAAATATTGAATATTTGCTATATTCACAGCAGCAATAATTAGGCAGTAACATGAGATACAAATGAGCAGATATTGTTTCTTTCCTCAAGCTTACAGTTTAATTTTGAAGACAGGTACTTATGTAAATAACTACAAAGCCAAAACTAAAGGCTGCAAGAGAGAAAGCAAATTGCCCTAGAAGCAGTGGGTATTATAGCTGAGAATCTCAGAGACTGGCTTCATTGAAGGAGTATTCTGACTTGGGCTGTAAATGACAAATAAGCTTTTACTAGGTAGAAGAGACATGAAAGGGCATTCAAGCTGGAAGGAACTGAGCCAAAGATATAAGACACAAATATGTTTTTTTAAAAAAAGGAATGAAATATTTGAGATCAAAATGTTTTGGTGTGGTTGAAGTGTAAGCTTTAAGGTGGGTAGGAAATGAGATTGGAAAGGTAGGTTTGGAGCTAAGTTACAGAAACTTTGTAAGGCATGCTACAGAGATCAGTTGTGCTTATGGGTTTTTTTTTTCCCCTGTGAACTATGGAAAGATATGTCAATTTTTTTTTTTTGGCCTAATTTTCAGGGTGTAAAGTTTTTGTGTAGAGGAGTATGGTCAGGTCAGACTTAGGTTTCACAAATAACTCTCACAGCTATATGAATAATGAAGAGGAGAGATAAGATAGGCTGGTAATAGGAAGTCAAGTAAGAAAGACGTTGAAATAGCTCAGCCATGCCTGGGCTGGTTTAGGGTACTTGATTTAGGGAAGAGAAAGTAAAAAGCAGCAATAGATTTCAAGATTTTATTTCTACTTTAATCTTGAGTCGTAATAGAAACAAGAAATTTTATCAGTCATTTTTTACTCCTAATACACAATGGATTATAATTAGTTGATTTTTTTCATTAGATAATAATATATTTAGTTCACCTGAAGATGACATGGTTGTTGCCCCAGTCACCCACGTATCCGTCACATTAGATGGGATTCCTGAAGTGATGGAAACACAACAGGCACAAGAAAAATATGCAGACTCACCAGGAGCCTCATCACCAGAACAGCCTAAGAGAAAGAAAGGTAGGTGGTTACTTCATTTAGGGCACACAGTCAAGTCTTGATGTGAAGCCTATGTACCATTTTTATTCTATGTAGTTCTTTTCTGCTGCAGTTAAAACTTACATAAGAAAAACACTGAAGGCACAAAATGAAAATTACAGGGTATTTCTTGGCCACACATAGAGATTCATGCCTGTAATCCCAGCACTTTAGGAGGCCAAGGTGGGAAGACTGCTTGAGGCCAGGAGTTTGAGACCTGCTTGGGTAGCAAAGCAAGACCTCATTTCTACAAAAAATGTAAAAAATTAGCTGGGCACACACACAAAAAAAGACAAAAACAAAAAAAATTAGCTGGGCACAGTGGGTACCTGTAGTCCTAGATATTTGAGAGGCCAAGGTGGGAGGATATCCCTTGATCTCAGGAATTTCAGGCTTCAGCCAACTAAGATCATGCCACTGCATTCCAGCCTGGGCAACAGGGTGAGACTCTAAGAAATAAATATAAATAAATGAATAAATAAACAAGAAAAAGAGGTGTTTCTTCATAGTAGAGTCATTTCTTTGAAAAAAGTATTGGGCCAGACCTGGTGACTCACACCTGTAATCCCAGCACTTTGGGAGGCAAAGGTGAGTGGATTACTTGAGGTCAGGAGTTTGAGACCAGCCTGGCCAACATGGTGAAACCCCATCTCTACTAAAAATGCAAAAAATAGCTGGGCATGGTGGCACATGCCTGTAATTCCAGCTACTTGGGAAGCTAAGGCAAGAGAATCACTTGAACCCAGGAGGCTGAGGTTGCAGTGAGCTGGGACCACACCATTGGACTCCAGCCTGGGCAACAAGAGTGAAACTCTCTCTCAAAAAAATTTTTTTAAAATTATTTTATACTTTTTAAATATTTGGTCTATCTTACAGAAAAGGGATTTTCCAACTTTTTAAAGCCTCAAATTGTTATCCAAATCCTTTTATCCAAGCTCATAAAGAGCTTGAGGGTAAGGGCTAGTTAACTTCCTCCCAGGGGATATAGTTTAGCCTGTACTGGTGATTCCAGTATAAGACTCCAGCTGGAAACATACAGTAAGTTGGAAATCAGCTGGTAAGTAATTGAAGAGGAATATGTTAGGATGTGTTGAATGGGAATTTTTAACTTTTTGCCAGTTAGGACCACACTTGCATTCTAGAGTCTGACACCTTTTCCGTTTTATTGCCTTCTGATTCTATTCATGCTTGTTTAGTATTTTGAGTATAATGTCTTGGTTAGTAGCATCACCACCCACCCAGAAACCTAAGTTCATGTGAAAGTAAGGGAAATTCCAAGAGCCGAAAATGAGGAGGAAAATAAAAATAGTAAACATGAGCTGAGACTGCGGCAGCTTAGAAGGGCTGAGAAAGATATGCCAAGGGGCTTGGTTTTATTGCCAGTGTTGAGGCAGAAGCTTAGGTCTCGGGCTATGCAAAATGGAGTATTGGACAGAGACCTCAGCATGTAACTGGGACCCTTGAAGGGATATACCCTCTTAGGGGAAAAAGTCCACCCATTGGCACAAACGAATGTCAAGGAAGCTTGGATCCCATTCAGCCAGGGCTCTGAGTGGAGAAATTCTGGTTTAATTTCTTTTGAGTAAATACTTAGTATTGGAATGGCTGGATCACATGTTAAGTATACATTAAATATTTTTCAGAAACTGCTTTCCAAATTTTATTTTCTCCATGTATTAAGGTGGGGCAACCATAGGACTTGCCTCATTTATTTCCTGTCTCTCGGGGGTGACTGACTTTTGTTGACCGATGTCCAATTTCTTCAGTACCATTGTTTCATAATTTTTCTGTGTTTTCAGTTGTTTCAGGTGGGAGGATAAATCTATGTTCTGTTATTCTATCTTGACTAGAAGAGGAAGTTCCCACCTAGTCTTTTTTAATAGCCTTATTCTTTGACCATGTTTTTTGTTCTTCTGCTTTAAAAACTCTAATACTCATGTAAAGTTTATATTTCATAATTCTGTTATATTTGATTCTTAGAGAATACTAGGGTTTCCAGTGTCTGTTGCTTCTCACTCAGAAAGTGTCTTCCTCATGTATTCTGTGATACCAGAATGTGAGTTCACCTTCAACATGGCTTTATCTGAGGAAATCAGATAAAGGCCTAGGTTGAATGTATAACCCACCTGAGCAATTATATAACAGCTTCTGTCTGGTGCCCCATAGTTATTACAATCCTGGGGCTACGTCTGTGTTAATTACTTGGCTGGCAACTCCTAATGTCAGTGGTAGTTTAAAATCTAGTTGTAAACCCAGGTTAAGACAGACCCAGGATTAACCGTGTTCATAGAAAAATTTGTACATAAATGACTGATCTCGGCTCCCTGCATCCTCCACCTCTTGGGTTCAAGTGATTCTCCTGCCTCTGCCTTCCAAGTAGCTGGGATTACAGGCATGCACCACATCTGGCTAATTTTCTTATTTTTAGTAGAGATGGGGTTTCAACATGTTGGCCAGGCTGCTCTCAAACTCCTGACCTCAAGTGATCCACTGCCTCAGCCTCCCAAAGTTCTGGGATTACAGGTATGAGGCACCCTGCCTGGCCATTTATGTACAAATTCTTCTTAAATATGTAGTATTTGTTTACCCAATCAGCAGTTAATGAGCATTTGGGTTGTTTCCAACTTAGGGCAACTGCAAATAATGCTGCGAAGAGCATTTGTGTACCTTTTTTTTTTTTTTGAGATTGAGTCTTGCTCTGTCGTCACCAAGGCAGGAGTGCAGTGGCACTTTTAGCAACACAATAAAAATACCACTCAGCAATAAAACAATATATGATTGTTATATACAAGAAAAAACTCTCAAAATAATTGGGCTAAGGGAAGAAAAAGAAGAAAAAATATGCTTCTATAGTTGACCCTCAAACAATGTGGGGATTAGGGCTGCCAACCTCCTATAGCCAAAAATCCATGTAAAACTTTTGACTCCCCAAAAAACTTAACTACTAATAACGACCTGTTGACTGGAAACTGGAAGACTTACTGATAACATAAACAGTTAACATTTATTTTGTACGTTATATATATTAAATATTGTATTTTTACAATTAAGTTAGAGAAAAGAAAATGTTAAGAAAATCATAAAGAAAATATATTTACTATTTATTAAGCAGATGTGGATCAATAAAGGTCTTTTTTTTTTTTTTTTTAAGAGCCTGGGTCTTGTTCTGTCACCCAGGCTGGAATGCAATGGCAAGATCATAGCTCAGTGCAACCTGGAACTCCTGGGCTTAAGCGATCCTCCTACCTCAGCCTCCTGAGTAGCTGGGACTATGGACGAGCCCCCACCACACCCAGCTAATTTTTAATTTTTATTTTTGTAGAGGTGGGTCTTGCTATGTTACCTAGCCTGGTCTTAAACTTCTAGGCTCAAGCATTCCTCCTGCTTTGGTCTTCCAAAATGCTGGGATTACAGGCGTGAGCCACCATGCCCAGCCAGAGGTCTTCATGCTTGTTGTGTTTATGTTGGCAAGGCTGAGGTGGGAGGAGGAAGAAAAGGGGTTGGTCTTGCTGTCTCAGGAATAGCAGAGGCAAAAGAAATGGAGGAAGTAGAAGGGGAGGCAGGAGACACAGGTACACTTGATATAACTTTTATTGAAAAAAGATCCCTATATAAGTGGGCCTGTGCAGTTCAAAGCTGCGTTTTGTTTGAGGGTCAATTTTATATTAATATAAAGCTATAGAAACCGCAAACTAATCTATAATGACAGGAAACAGATGTGTGGTTGCCTGTGGATTGGACAGGGTGAGGAAGGGTGAGATGTAAGGATTACAGAAGGGCACAAAGTACTTTTGGGGTGGTGAATATATTCATCATTTTGAAAGTAGTGGTGGTTTTTAGTACACATAGTCGAAACTTGTCAATTTGTACCCTTTAAACATACATAGTTTATTTAATGTGTCAGATTTACCTCAGTAAAACTGCTTTAAAAAAAAAAAGACTAATATCCTACTTATTGTTGAAAAACTATTGATATGATAAAGAACCAGTTGGAGTTTATAGAAATAAGAAATGAAATTGGGCCATGTGTAGTTGTTCATGCCTGTAATCCCGGCACTTCGGGAGGCTGAGGCAGGCAGATCACGAGGTCAGGAGTTTGAGATAAGCCTGACCAACATGGTGAAGTCCCGTCTCTACTAAAAATACAAAAATTAGGAAGGCGTGGTGACGCATGCTTGTAATCCCAGCTACTGAGGAGGCTGAGGCAGGAGAATTGCTTGAACCTGGGAGGAAGAGGTTGCAGTGAGCCAAAATTGTGCCACTGCACTCCAACCTGTGTGACAGAGTGAGACTCTGTCTCCAAAAGAAAAAAGAACAAAAAACAAAACAAAACAAAACACCAGACTAGTCACTGATTAAGAAAGAATTAGTAAACTCCAATAGAGATTTGGTGTGGATTTAAAAATATGAAAGCGTTACAGACATGTAGAATTAAATGAAATGTTCTACATCAGAGTTCCAGAAACAGAGAATATAAAACTTGCGGAAGAGGCAGTATGTAAGAGATAGTCACTAAGAATGTTTCAGAATCACATTAATCCTCAGCATTGTGAATCCTGAGTAGTTCAGCTACAGTAAATCTAGGCCTAAATGCATTGTGGGTAAAAATTAGAACACCAAAGACCTCTCTTCAAGCTCTCCCCCACTCCAAAAACAGAAGAAACAAACCAGGAGAAACTACATTACTTCAAGAGGATTGATTTTTAGATTGGCAATTTAGAGCTTCTTCTCTCAGAAGCTGAAAGAATCAGACATCTTCAAAGGGCTGAGAAGAAATCACTGTGAACCAAAAATTCTACATCTAACCAATATATAATTCGCCTGAAGCTTTGTACATTGCCACCTTGAATGATTAGGAATGTGTTGGAGAAGATGGATACTGGGTGGGAGCTTTTAATGGTAGTGTCTGTTGTGACTAAAGCTAGTGGAGGAAAGTAGTGGAAATAAAGATGATATCTATTTTTTTTTAAAAGCTGGTATATATTAATAGCATAAAATAAGATGGAGATTACTGAAGCCTTGGCTTCTAATACTCACTGTCATGAACACAAACAGAAGAATCTGTCTCATGAAGGGTTCTTTGCAGATGTCTGCAGTGATGAAAGTCAAGACACCTGGCTGACTAGCGTACGTTTGGAGTCTTAGAGACTGAAGAGGGGGCTTTTTGACATTTTCTCCCTTCCTCTCATTCACCCAAATGATTTCAGAAACATTTTCCTATTCAGTTTCTGGGGATAGATTGTTAATCTTGTGATTTTTTTCAGCTGTAAAATTCTGCTTTTCTAAGTTATTGTCCTATATTATGTTTACTTAGAATTCACCACTATAATCTAAACCAGAGTGGCAGTCTCCAGAATGTTGGGGTAGGAGGTAGTAACTATTGATTGTTTCTCACATATAGAATGGTAGTATATTCAGACAGCATGATCATGATCTAAACCTAAACATAAGGCAGCAGTGCTACCAGGCCATGGTTCTAGATACATGGCAAAAGAAGATCACAAACCGGACTTTAGAATAGTATATCGACCCCACTATTGGGATGGAGTTATTTAGAAATTGATGGTGGGTAAGGTAACTATGAAGTTTGTTGTGAATTGAAAGATACAGAGAAATGAGATGTTTTTAGAAATACGAGGACAGCAATTTTACCTCACATATTTTCTAAAGTTTGGGAAGTTTCTTATACTTGAGAACTAACTGTATACAGAAATTATTTAATAGAGAAAAAAGCTGAAAATCCACTTCTCCTACTTTAAAAAGCTTGTGTAATCAATAGGTCTACAAAGCTGTATGGCTTATTTTTGGAGCCCAAGTTCTACCAATGTCAAGAGCATTCTTCAGAAGTTTAAGAAAGCACTATCAGTGTGGGTACTTCAAAGTCAAGCTGTTATATATTTTAAATTAACTTCATCTTTACAGATATAAACTGAGGTGTCAGAGGTATCATTTCTTAGATAAATGTGCTTATGGTTTAACCTGCATTAATGTCCAAGTTTTATTAAAGTTGTTTTCCTTTTAGTAAACAGCATTTTAAGAAACCAGTATATGTGACCCATGTATAAAACATTCGGCACTTGAAATTTAGGATAAATGACAAAATAGCTAAATTGTCCATTTTCTCTCACTTTTGAAGGCACATATTTATGCAGAGTTGTTTTTATTTCAGGGAGAAAAACTAAACCACCACGACCAGATTCCCCAGCCACTACGCCAAATATATCTGTAAAGAAGAAAAACAAAGATGGAAAGGGTAAGTGCTATTGTAATTTCTGTGTAATTTAGGTCAAATAACAGATTGCTTTATAGTGTCTGCCTATTATAACTAGAAACCACATGCTTTCTTGATATACTGAAATGGATCTTATTGCTGCCACGTGCTTATTAGATACATTTGCCAAATTCTGTAAAGAAACTGATAATAAAATAGACCAAGAAGCTCATTTGAGTGATTTTTACTTACTTGTCAACATGATCTATTCATTTAATAATGAGACTCTTGGAAGAGTTTAACCAGGTTTGATTTTCAGTTCACAGACCCTTTAATATATTGTCTTGAAATTTTAGCATTTTTGTAACTGTTGCCCAAATTTGAAGAAAACTTATGGCTGACCTGCTGGCTGTAGTATAAAGAGAGCAACTGTTGAAAGGTTTCATACAAACTCTTGTGTTTCTTCTATATGATGGTTCGCAGAGAGACAGAAAAAAATTATCTCAGAGTACTTTCTCCTAAATCATCACAAATCTTATGACAAGATTGCTTTGTTCACACATTTTATATGGGACTAATAAAAAGATCTTTTTTTAGATGTTAAAAATTATGACCATTGTATCACCCATGCTAACTAAATTATGACACCAATACTAACTGAAATATGTAATATTTTTGTGTAAATATGAATGGTACTTCTAAGACTTTTAGTTGTCTTTTATTGTGTTCTTTTAAATGAAAGTTTGGTCATTTAGAAAGAAATTGTTTTTGTTTCAGGAAACACAATTTATCTTTGGGAGTTTTTACTGGCGCTGCTCCAGGACAAGGCTACTTGTCCTAAATACATCAAGTGGACCCAGCGTGAGAAAGGCATTTTTAAATTGGTGGATTCTAAAGCAGTGTCCAGGTTGTGGGGGAAGCACAAAAACAAACCTGATATGAATTATGAGACCATGGGAAGAGCACTCAGGTATTTGAAGTTTTGGTATTTTATTGTGTTAACAATATCATTTCCTAAATACTAGAAAAATATATCAAGCTTCAAGTCTGCAAGTACCAATAGGTGTTAATGCAAGTACGTAATAAGAGGGTACGTTTTCAGCCAGGCACGGTGGCTGACACCTGTAATGCCAGCACTTTGGGAGGCTGAGGCTGGTGGATTGCTTGAGTCCAGGAGCTTAAGACCAGCCTGGGCAACGTGGCAAAACCCTGTCTCTACTAAAAATACAAAAAATTAGCCAGGCATGGTGGTGTGCACCTGTGGTCCCAGCTACTCAGCTTGCTGAGGTGGGAGAATCACCTGAGCCCGGGAGGTTTGAGGCTGCAATGATTGATATTTTGCCACTGAACTCCTAGCTTGGGCAACCAGAGTGAGACCCTGTCTCAAAAAAAAAAAAAAAAAAAAAAAAGAGGTTGCATTTTCAAACATGAACTTCAGGTATGATATGTTAGTTATTATGGTAGAATAAATTAGCGCGTCAAGACTACTACTAGACATCATGAAAATTTTGAGCAAGAGTACCATTTTATTGTTAAGCTCACTTTTACTTTGTTTTTTGGTGACTGTCATTTATTGTTCAAGATATGCATGTATTTCAGAAAGACTTATTAATAATAAGAATGATCTGAGTGACTTTTAGGGTGTGTGTATATATATAAAAATAGATATAGATATAGATGTAAAATTTGGCAGTCTTAAACTAGAACTCTTTACAGTTTTTGTTTTTTTAACATACTTTTTTAGGTTACTGATTTTATTAAACTGGATGACAAAAGTTGGGCCACTTCTATTGCACATCATTAAATTTTACACTCAAGTCAATTAAATTTACTGAATCAAATTTAAACTGATATGATTTGCCTAGTAGGAACATTTCTAGGAAGCTGTGGAGGAGAAATCATTTCTTGAGGTTTTTCATAGTTTTTATTATCCTGGCAAGTAAGCAGAAAGGGGCCGACTGTGGTGGCTTGCCTTCTATAATCCCAGCATTTTGGGAGGCCGAGAAGGGAGGATTGTTTGAGCCTAGAAGTTCCAGACCAGCCTGGGCAACATGCCAAAATCCAGTCTCTACAAAAAAATGCAAAAATTAGCCACATGTGGTAGCACGCGCCTGTGGTCCCAGCTACTCAGGAGGCTGAGGTGGAAAGATCACTTAAGACTAGGAATTCAAGGCTGCAGTGAGCGATGATCATACCTCTGCACTCCAGCCTGGGCAGCAGAGCAAGACTGTGTCTCTAAATAAATAAGTAAATAAGTTAGCAGAAAGATAGAGGAAGAAAAGTGAAAGACCAGAAGTTTCCACATACTCTATCAGCAGTCCCCCAATCAGCATTAGTTTTAGATTTAGTTGGTAATAAGGACTTATCTCTGTTCATAAATGTATGTGTATCTTATATGAAATAACTGCCCTTTATTTAGAAATTCTTTTCTCATTAGTTTGATTCCAACTTTAAAGTTTTGTTTATGATTAGGGAAATTTGATTTTGTTGAATATTATTTTAATTGATGTTTGATTGAATAAAATATTGATGAAATTGTCTGCTTTGAATAGGTACTATTACCAAAGGGGTATTCTGGCAAAAGTGGAAGGTCAGCGCTTGGTGTATCAGTTTAAAGAAATGCCAAAAGATCTTATATATATAAATGATGAGGATCCAAATTCCAGCATAGAGTCTTCAGATCCATCACTACCCTCAACAACCACTTCAAGTAGGAGTCAAGCCAGCCGGTCGAGAGTATCTTCAAGTCCAGGGGTAAAAGGAGGAGCCACTACAGTTCTAAAACCAGGGAATTCTAAAGCTGCAAAACCCAAAGATCCTGTGGAAGTTGCACAGCCATCAGAAGTTTTGAGGACAGTGCAGCCCACACAGCCTCCATATCCTACCCAGCTCTTCCGGACTGTTCATGTAGTACAGCCAGTACAGGCTGTCCCAGAGGGAGAAGCAGCTAGAACCAGTAACGTGCAGGATGAAACAATAAATTCTTCCGTTCAGAGTATTAGGTGAGAAAACCAAACTACTAATGCTTATCACTTCAATATGTTTCTGACCAAAGGCATTATTTGTTAAGTGGATCAAAATTCAGAAATGAAAACAGAAGTATATAGATTTCAAGATAGAGCTCTTGATTCCCAGATTTTTTAGGAGCAGTATGTATTACGTCAATCCTCTGATTATGCCACTGGTCCCTTATATTTACATTTTGACATTATTCTGTCAGTTTAAGTATAGTTCACTATACCTTTGTATAACTGGATTGATCCATATAAGAAATTATCTAGATGTGAGAAAATCCAGGGAATGGTTTCAGATCTTTAATCAAGCCAAGTCAGAAGCACCAAAAATTCAACATAAATTGACATACTAGGACATTCAGAGTGCATAGAGTTCCAAGCTATAAATGTTATTCCTTGGAAGATCCTATCTTGGAACAATTCTACAGTTCAAACAGAAGGGGAGGCCAAGAATCTAAGGTCCTTTTTTTCAGGCTTTTAGAGTGGCAATGGCAGAAGTTGGAAAAGTAGTTTGTAGTTTTCTTTTTTTTTTTAGTTAGATTTGCTTCAGCAAAAGATGCTAAACAGCAAATTGACTGAGAGAACCTATCTTCCTTAGACTGATCATCTGAAAAAATTTAGGACTAGTCTCAGCTGATTTAGAATGGGGATGTGGGAGGAAAGCAGAAAATCATATGGATATTTGTAGCATTTTTCTGTTTATACTGTCATGAATTTCTAGAACATGAATTATAAAATCTAGCAGCCCTTTCAAAGCCAACAAAAATTATTATTTGATTACTTTTATTAGCAAACTTCAGTTTTACATTTTTATATTCCAGAATATAAATGTGGAGGTGTCATTCAATTGATCTTGAAGTAAGGTAACATTACCTAGAATCAAGACAGACTTAGATGATTCAGTCTTCTTTGTATAGTGAATTTAAAATGTTTGACCTTGGGAAAATATAATTCTCTTAAGTCTTCAATTGATTTGCAAGGAGTGCAAAGATGACTTTTAAATTTTTAATTGGATGATACATCTTTAACTGTTATTAAAGGAGTATATCTTGAGTAGTCCTTATCCAAAATGCCTGGGACCAGGAATATTTTGGATTTCGAATATTTTCAGATTTTAAATCGTTGCATTATACTTACCTAGCACAGCGTCCCAATCCAAAAATCTGAGATCCAAAATGCTCCAGTGAGCATTTCCTTTGAACATCAAATTGGCACTCAAAAAGTTTCATATTTTGGAACATCTTGGATTTCAGATTTTCGGATTTGGGATTCTCAGTGGGTACTTATTTAACTCTTACTGGCTGTATTCTCCCCTTAATGTTGTATATTTCTCTAGGCCCTACGGGCTACATGTGATGACTGAGTGTCTAGTTGGGAGTGTGTGGCTTCTCCCTTTGGTTTCTAGGCTGTTTGTTGTTTGCATTTGTGTTGATAGGAGACCTACAATGACCACAGCTGATTCCATGGAATTTTTTAGCATCTGTATTCAAAATATTGTTTTTAGACTGTGAGAATAAAACAAAAACAAAAAACCTCTAGCTTTGAAAGATACTAAATTGTAGATATTGTATTAGATATCATATTACTCTGAATATCAGTTATCTGCATAATACTCTACATTAGCCTTGGGTGGTCATCTAAGTTGGTATTCCATATCCTGCGTGAATGGGCAGGCTCTAGTCATCCTGTATCTTTATTCCCACTTCTTTTGAACCTCTTCTGAATTGTGCTAGGTCTTTGTTTCATCTTTCCATCAAGCCAATTTGTTTTTCTCCTCTACAATTTTATTTCTCACATGTGAGAGACATAACTAACTTTCAAAATGTAGCTTTAATAATCTAGTGGTAATATTTAATGCTTGGTTTATGGAGACTAATTTAGCTGTTAGCTGTTTGAAATAGCAGCAAGTATCTTTAATTAAATAACTTTACAGAATTCAGAGGAAACAGTTGACATCCAGATGCTGAGATTTTTCAATGGCATTTTTATACTATATTAACAATAACCATAACTATAAACTTCAGAGCTGTGAACTTTTAAAATTAGATTGACTAATAATATCATTTACTTTCTCTTTCTTCAATGAGTGGGATTAACAACCTACATAAACTAGATTTTGCATTAAAGCATTTTATATTAAACTGTAGCTTTATAAACAAAATTTGTGCAAATTATTTGAACCTGGAAAACTGCTAAAACATGTTTTTTTCTATTTATTTTTCCAAAACTTAGCCACATTTTCTCTGCCAGCCCAGGAACCCGCACAGGTTAATCATAATCATGGCTTGTTTCATATAAATATGACATGAGGCTGGGCATGGTGGCTCGCGCCTGTAATCCAAGCACTTTGGAGACCAAGGCGCACAGATCACCTGAGGTCGGGAGTTCAAGACCAGCCTGACCAACATGGTGAAACCCCGTCTTTATAAAAAATAAATAAATAAATAAAATATGACATGAAATGTGAGCTACTAAAATTCTAAGAATTCTATCACATGTTTAAGACTGAGGTGGGTTTTTTGTTTTTATTAATTAAAGATTTTCCCCCTTTATGTGTAAAAACAGGTTGAAAACAATTACAAAGTTTGGTAATTAGTGTGGATGAGCATGTTGATAACATTATCTCTCAAATATTAAAATAGTAGGCTGGGCACAGTGTCTCATGCCTATAATCTCAGCACTTTGGGAGGCCGAAGTGGGTGGATCACCTGAGGTCAGGACTTTGAGACCAGCCTGACCAACATGGCAAAACCCCATCTCAATTAAAAATACAAAAATCAGCCAGGCATGGTGGCACATGCCTGTAATCCCAGCTGCTTGGGAGGCCGGCAGGAGAATGGCTTGAACCCGGGAAGTGGAGGTTGCAGTTAGCCGAGATCACAACACTACACTCCAGCCTGGGAGTGTAGTGTTTTACTTTACAAAAGTAAAACTCCATCTCAAAAAAAAAAAAAAATAGGAATGAATCTAACAGATTTGCTTTCAGATTCCTAATTTTAAGAAGCTTATGCAAACTTCCTTGCCGAACATTTTAATATCCTCCTCCTTCCCCAACAAAATTAGCTCCTCATTTGTGTTAATGTGGCACTATGTACAGACCTTTCTTCCATAGCACTCAGCAGAGGGTATCATAGTTAATGACCTGAGAGTTTTGCGTTAGGCATCTCTGTATGTAATGTTTAATACAGAGTCTGGCATGATGTTGGTCATGCTGTGTTGAAAATATGAGAAGTAGCATTTTGAAATGTATAACTGGTATTTTGTAAAATGACTTGTCAAGTGTAAAGTTTTAAATGATGTAGAATATGCTAATTGTCTCACTTTAATTTCATAATCTCAATAGGACTATACAGGCTCCAACCCAAGTTCCAGTGGTTGTGTCTCCTAGAAATCAGCAGTTGCATACAGTAACACTCCAGACAGTGCCACTGACAACAGTGATAGCCAGCACAGATCCATCAGCAGGTACCGGATCTCAGAAGTTTATTTTACAAGCCATTCCATCATCACAGCCCATGACAGTACTGAAAGAAAATGTCATGCTGCAGTCACAAAAGGCAGGCCCTCCTCCTTCAATTGTCTTGGGCCCTGCCCAGGTACAGCAAGTCCTTACTAGCAATGTTCAGACCATTTGCAATGGAACCGTCAGTATGGCTTCATCTCCATCCTTCAGTGCTACTGCACCTGTGGTGACCTTTTCTCCTCGCAGTTCACAGCTGGTTGCTCACCCACCTGGCACTGTAATCACTTCAGTTATCAAAACTCAAGAAACAAAAACTCTTACACAGGAAGTAGAGAAAAAGGAGTCTGAAGATCATTTAAAAGAGGACATTGAGAAAATTGAGCAGCAGCCACAGCCTTATGTGATGGTAGTGTCCAGTTCTAATGGATTTACTTCTCAGGTAGCTATGAAACAAAATGAACTGCTGGAACCCAACTCTTTTTAGTTAATCTACCAAAGCTTATGAATAATTGGTTTTTAATTGAACATTTCAATTGTATGCAAACTGATTGATTCTAAGATAAATTCTACTGAGGTTTCTACTTTTGTAATTGTTAAAAATAGAGTTAATTTTGACTTTAGTAGATGAGGGAGGAAAACTCAAGTGTTTCTCTTAGTTCTCTAAATGTTTCAGAATTCAATCGTGAAGGAACAGGCATTTTACACTATGAAGACATTCTTTTGAGATCTTTTTTCAGTTATATCATAAGCATTTTTAAAGTTTCTTTTCTAATTTTACATTGTATTAGGTTTTCTGATTCTTTTGTAAATACAGAACTTAAATATAAGGCAACAGGAAATTTATATAGGAACTATTTTCATTCCACTCATGTAAGTTAAGTCTTGACTCTTTCAAATGCAAAAAACCTATTTTATGCTTTGTTAAAATTATGATGTCACTTAGACTGACTTTAGTTGGCTACACTATATGAACTATGAATATGTAAAATGACATGAAAAATTGGAGGTGCCGCTGGTATGGCTGACCTGTTGTAGAAGGAGGATAGTATCAAAGCATCAGCCTATGAATGGCACTCCCACCAACCAGCTATGTCAGCTTGACCTTTTGGTGCCTTAGTTCTTCTCATAAAAGGAAGAGATGTATTGGACTAGACTAGACGATCTCCACTTTCTCTTCTAGTTCTAATTTTTTTAAATTCTAATACCTATATTTTCAAGTTATGTCAATTAAAACATCAGGTTATTTTCCAATGTAAAAAGAGCTAAAATGTTGCAGAAAAATAAGTGGCTCAACAAAATTTATTCATCTGTTATGGGTAAGATCAGCCATAAATTCTTCCTAAATAGTTTGTTTGCTAACTCTAGACCACTGTGCCATTTGCAGCCCATTAGCAAACTTACATTGCTAAGTGCTAAACAGAATACTGCTATTTTGAGAGAGTCAAGACTCTTAAGGGCCAAGAAAGCAACTTGAGCCTTGGGCTAATCTGGCTGAGTAGTCAGTTATAAAAGCATAATTGCTTTATATTTTGGATTGTTTTTTATTGGGGGTGGACTTGGGGGGGGTTGCATACAAAGATAACATATATATCCAACTTTCTGAAATGAAATGTTTTTACATTACTTTTTCAACTGTAGATAATGTACATTATATGTCACAAGAAAAATTGTCTTCTGCAAATTTTCTAGTATAACAGAAATTTTTGTAGATGAAAAAAATCATTATGTTTAGAGGTCTAATGTTATGTTTTCATATTACAGAGTGAATTTGTATTTAAAAAAATTTAAATTTTGGAATCCTCTAAACATTTTTGTATCTTTAATTGGTTTATTATTAAATAAATCATGTAAAAATTCTCAGTGTTTCTGTTTTCAGGCAAAAGTTTCTTGAAAGAATAAGTGTATAGAGCATATTGCTAGTATTTACAGCATTACTGAATGTTTTATAAATAAACTCCACTAGTCAGAATTGCAGGATATCACCCTTTCACTTTTCCTTTCTGCATGGCCAAATGGCAGTTTCTAATCATCAAACAGTGGATTACCAAGTTGCAGAAATTAGAAATAGAAAACAATAAAATATTCCCAGCAATAATATTAAACACACTTTTGTTTTTATTTTTATTTATTTATTTATTTATTTTTTCAGTAGCTATCAATGTAATGTTTATTTACACAATGGGCAAAATTAAAAGTTGGCATAATTACACCAATTCCTCATATTTCAGTCCTGAAATTTTAAAGCATCCTAAATCACCAACTTAAACTTGGCTTTTGTTCTCATGTCAAACACCTGTTTTCATACAGTATTTCAGAAGGCGTTCCTCCTGTGTATTTCATGGTGTCGACTAAGTGATGAGTTATAGCTGAAGGCTTTTCCACATTCATTACATTCATAAGGCTTTTCTCCAGTGTGATGTCTCTGGTGTTTTTTAAAAGATTAATCATGCCTATCGGCTTTTCCACAGCGGTTGCATTCATATGCTTTCACTCCTGTATGAACAGTTTTGTGGTTGCTAAGGTGTATTCTCTGCCTGAAGGCTTTCCCACATTCTTTACATTTGTACGGTCTCTCCCCAGTATGGATTCTCTGGTGATTTGTTAGATACGCTCTATGACTAAAGGTTTTACAACACGCAGTGCATGCATAGGGCTTCTCCCCAGTATGAATCCTTATATGTTCACTAAGGTGTCTAATCTGTCTAAAGGTTTTCCCACATTCATTGCAAGTAAAGGGTTTCTCTCCAGAATGAGTCCTCAAATGTTGAATCAAGCTAATGTTCTGGCTGAAAGCTTTCTGACATGTATCACATACATAGGGTTTCTCACCAGCGTGAGTTCTATGATGCTGATTAAGTGATGAGCGATGTCTGAAGGCTTTCCCACATTCCTCACATTCAAAGGGTTTCTCACCAGTATGGATTCTCTGGTGTGTACTGAGGGATGCACTTTGACTAAAGGCCCTTCCGCATTCCTTACACCTGAAAGGTTTCTTGCCAGTATGAATTCTCATATGTTCAGTAAGGTGAATTGGTTGTTTGAAGATTTTTTCACATATATTACATTCATAGGTTTTTGTTCTTATGTAACCTGTTGGATGATTAATCAAATCTAATTTGTACTTGTTCCACTTTGTAGGTGTATCACACTTATGGTGCCTGTGTTCAATAATAACATTTGAACTCACTATGATATCTTCCCCAAATTTGTTAATTTCTTGGACTCTCTTCTTATGGGCCAAGATGGCTTGTCTCACATCTCTCACACAAGTTTCCTGGTGCCTTTCTAAGACATCATATGTGGAGACTTTTCTCTATGTGGAATAAATTATATCATCCCTCATGAACCTTTCCATCATAATGCCATGATATAACTGTTCCTGTGAAATGGTACTCTTTGCAGTTGACTCAGTGGTTTCTGTGTTACTCTTCAAGTCTGAACTGGGATCTCCCGGGCCGCCTTTCTCTGTCATCCAGGGCTCTTCTCCTTTCTCTAGCTGGGATATCACAATAGGTTTGGAAAGTTGATATCCTGCCACTGACACCAAGTTGCTGTAGTTCTCCAGCATCACCTCTCGGTACAGATTCTGGTGAGCAGGAGTCAGCTGCCCCCATTCTTCCTGGGTGAAGTCAATAGATATGTCCTTGAAAGTCAACAATTCCTGTGATTGTCCTGTCGGGAGTCCAGGGTTCAGTTCATCCTCTAAACTTTCTTCCTGGGTCTCATCAGCATCCTGAGATGGCAGAGCCTCTCCTTCAAACATTTTAGTCACATCCTCCCACAGGGGCGCCCCCTCTGTGGCCTTCTTTGAATGTTGCAACTTCACCCAGGTGCTAGCCTCAGTAGGCAGAGCGATCAGGAGCTGCTGTGGCATGACAATGCCTGCCTGACTGGACTTGTCCCCTTCCGGTGAGGAAACTGCCAGAAGCTCTGATGAGAGGCTTCACAGTTGTGGGGTGTTCCTCAGATTCCAATCACCTGCCCTCCGGACTTCGGTGTGTCCCTGCAGCACCAGGACCTAGGGTTTCCTAGAGGCTGATGTAACTGTAACAACTCTAGGAAACAAACTCTCCTTTAAATCATGCACTTTCTTTGGGTGGCAGCCAGTTAGTTAGGTTTGAGTTCATGTCTCTATTCCCCTTGGAGGAGCAAAAGGGAAGAGAAGAGGGATCCAGAAGCACCTGTCTCCAGAGCTCCAGAAACTGCAGAAATATATTTAAAACACATCGGCCTTGGACGCAGGTAGGACCGGAGATGGGGGCGTGGGAGCGCTCGCTCTTTAGAGACGGACTGAGTGGTAACAGATATTGTTCTCTCCCAGCGTTTTAGACAGACCACATCGTCACTCAACGCAGTCATTCTCCAAAAAGCGTTCAGCGTTGAGTTCGGCTTCCTTCGGAAGCCCGGAGGACCCTCAACCTCCGAACTGGACGAGGTTCTGCTCCAAATTCCCATCAGGGACCCGCCCAGGCGGGTGGGCTTTGCCAGCCGCACCCCCAGGAGCCAGGCTTTGAGAGCCGGAATGGGAGGGGTGCCCCGAGCCGGCGTCCTGCAGACCCGGGCGAGGATACACCTCCCAGGCTGCCGCTTTACCGCGGGGCCGGCGGCGGCTGCAGCCAAGCCCACCCAGCCCGGCCTCTTAGGCCGCAGCCGGGCGTCTCGCCTGGCCTCTGCCCTCCGGCCGCGCCCTCCCGGCCGCTGGCACCGCCGGCCGCTCTCGCTCCAGGCCTGGCGACCCCGGGGCCCACCCCACGCGGTCCCGCTGCAGCCGCGGCCACAACTCGCGCGTCTTCCCTATTTTTATTTATTTTTGTATGTGTGTGACGGAGTCTCAGTTCTGTCGCCCAAGCTGGAGTGCAGTGGCTCAATCTTGGCTCACTGCAACCTCCGCCTCCCCGGTTCAAGCTTCTGCTCCCTCACCCTCCCTGGTAGCTGGGATTACAGGCACCCACCACCATGCCCAGCTAATTTTTTGTCTTGTTAGTAGAGATGGGGTTTCACCATGTAGGCCAAGCTGGTCTCAAATTCTTGATTACAGGCATGAGCCACTGCGCCCTGCCTAAACAGACTTTTGAAAACAAGTTTTCTAATTAGAAACTAGGTCAGTAAATATTAAACTTGGGAAACTATAAAAATGTAAGAAAATTAAAATATCTGTAATCCAATAGCCCTATATCCAGAAGTAACTTTCACTTATTTTTTCATGTTTGTGAATATTCTTCCAAAATGTGATTTTAAAGGCCCTGTAACATTATATTAGTATACCAAAATCCAGTTAAATAAAACCTTTTTAACTAGATAAGTTAGTTTTGTGGTTTTTCACCACATAGTGACTATCAGTGTCTCATTTCATTTTCTTAGTCATTGCTATAACAATACCTGAGACTGGGTAATTTTTTTTTTTTTTTTTTGGAACGGAGTCTCGCTCTGTCACCCAGGCTCACTGCAATCTCCGCCTCCCGGGTTCAAGTGATTCTCCCGTCTCAGGCACAAGCTCAGCTCACTGCAACCTCTGCCTCCTGGGTTCAAGTGATTCTCCTGCCTCAGGCTCCTGAGTAGCTGGAATTACAGTCATCTGCCACCACACCCAGCTAATTTTTTGTATTTTAGTAGAGACAAGGTTTCACCATATTGACCAGGCTGGTCTCAAACCCCTGACCTTGTGATCTGCCCACCTCTGCCTCCCAAAGTGCTGGGATTACAGGTGTGAGCCACCTCGCCCAGCCAAGACTGGGTAATTTGTAATGAACAGAAATTTAGTTGCCGACAGATCTGGAGTCTGTGAAGTCCAATAGCAATGCACAAACAGGCTTGGTGATTTTCATTCCAAATAGAGCTTGAACACTATGTCCTCTGGAGGGAAAGAACGCTCTGTCTTCAAAGGCAAAGACAGAAAAGCAAAGCGAGCCTCCCCTGCTTCTACTTCCAAAAGCCTTTTTATTTATTTATTTATTTAATTTATTTTTGAGTTTCACTCTTGTTGCCCACGCTGGAGTGTACTGGCTTGATCTCAACTCACTGCAACATCTGCCTCCAGAGTTCCAGTGGTTCTCCTGCCTCAGCCTCTTGAGTAGCTGGGATTATAGGCATCGCCACCACACCCAGCTAATTTTGTATTTTTAGTAGAGACGGGGTTTCTCCGTGTTGGTCAGTCTGGTCTTGAACTCCCAACCTCAGGTGATCCACCTGCCTCAGCCTCCCAAAGTGCTAGGATTACAGGTGTGAGCCTTTTTATTAAGGTGTTAAACCAATCCATGAAGGTGGAGCCCTCCTGGCCTAATCACCTCTTAGAGGCCCCACCTCCCAATACAATTAAATTTCAACATGAGTTTTGGAGGGAACAAACATTCCAGCCATAGCATACAGTACATGATGGTTGTTAAAAATTAAGGATCGTGCACTATTTTTGAATCAGTTATCCTTATCATAGGGGATACCAGATAAACTCTTTTTATTTATAACAATTAGTAACACCATTTAAATTGTATAGTTTTTTTTTGTTTTTGTTTTTGTTTTTGCTTTAAAAGGTATAGCATAAGAATTTTTAGGCTGGGCATGGTGGCTCACACCTGTAATCCCAGTACTTTGGGAGGCCGAGGCGGGTGAATCACAAGGTCAGGAGTTCAAGACCAGCCTGGCCAACATAGTGAAACCGCATCTCTACTAAAAATACAAAAAATTAGCCAGGCATGGTGGCAGGTGCCTGCAATTGCAGCTACTTGGGAGGCTGAGGCAGGAGAATCACTCGAACCCAGGAGGCAGAGGTTGCAGTCAGCCAAGCCATGCCACTGCACTCCAGCCTGGGCAACAGAGTGAGACTCCATCTCAAAAATAATAATAATAAAGAATTTTTAGAGACA